CTAATACGTGGACTTTGTCAACACAACAGAAGAGAAAACTTTGTTGCGCTTTTCAGGGGATGACAAAGCTGCTACGTTGGTGGAGAAAGCTAGAAGCAGGAGAGTTTGGAAGCAAATGCGTCCTATTAAGTGGCGGTGAAGATCCACGAAAAGCTTAAAGTATAACTAGACTAGGGAGGAAGAAGAAAGGTCGGCTAGTGGGGRCAGTCTGAGCATGATATGCGTCGCGTCCGTTATTCACACCCATGTGAGGTTCGAAAACCGTATCCAGGCAGGAATTGCAGTCGAAAAGAGGCGGTTCGCTGGAAATGAAACAACAGGGTTCACTAAACGCCCGTGGAAAAAAAACGAGGTTGCTTGTAAAGCCAATCATCAGACACGATCAGGAGAAACTTTCAACTACCAAGGCGGCGGCGAGCGATATAGCTAAGAGGCATTTAATCATGTCACTCAGATCTATTGACAGAAGCAGCAAAGAGTCAACTACGCTGCGGTTATAGTTTAAGAACAATAGATATAGAAGGTCAATTGATTATCGTCGGAGACCTAAATTCGAAAGCCATAGAGTAGTGCTAAAAAAAAAAATTGCTGAAGCACGCCATCGATGAAAACAAAAAGAAAAAATGGGACGAACTAAGCGAGGATGTTAACAAAAGCCTCCGTGAGTTTGGGTATAAAATAGTAATGAAGAAACTTGGTGTTTGAGCAAAGTCAGCTGAATTAACCGCTGCYAAAATTGATCACATCGTAAAATCAAACTTCTCCACACACGAAAAAAAGTTGGTAATTCTCAACAGGCTCTAAGTTTTCCACAAATCCCCTAGTTCACATTCAAAGAGCAGCAACTAGCCACTGGCAAGCTCAGGGACAACAAATGACCTGGGCCGAACCGCACCCCAATAGAAGTCCAGAAAATAATGGTGTAAAGCGATAGGCAGTATTTTCGAATAAGTACAAAGCCTGCTTYGAAACTGGAATATTCCTTGAACACTGGAAAAATCAAAGGCAGATGTATATCTCTTAATGAGAAAAAATGGAAAGCCATTCCTGGATGAGAAACGGCTCACCAGAATAGATTTTTAGTGATGTGCGGAAGTAATTTTCCACCCTGTCCACCGCACAAAAAAATATCCACGTGCCAAAAATTAAAAAAAAAAAAAAAATTTGGCAATATTCCTCCCAGCTCCCATAAAATCGTATGTAATATAAAGGTTTTTGCACGTCCGCTTGACTTTATGCCGTATACCATAAATCGGTCAATGTGTGAGATATTTCAATGAAATTAAGTTCATTTGCTTGGATACATTGCAGTTTGGTGCGAAAAATAGGTGAAGGAAGGTGGTCGGGGCCTTGGTCTAGCCCTCCAATACAGAGTATTATAGTTAAGGAATTAGTTATTCTTTGTATCGAACAGTAATCTTTATATCAAAAGCGTTGCTTGCATTGCCACCTGCATCTCGCACACTTATGACTCAGATACACATACATATACGCACACTTTTAATACTGCGTTAAGCTAAGTTTTAAGTATTTTCACGCAAATCTTTGTTTTTGAAGTGATCTGACCCAATTCTCTATAAAAATCTTTTGTTTTACTTATTCTCCCACTGCTGTATCTTCGCACGCATCAATCATGTTGACTCGGTCATAGAGACAAATTTTTCACTTTTCCTTATTTATTTTTTGTTTTTTGCTTTATCGGCTTTTTACTGCCTCATTGCCACAGCTATAAAAAAAACACTCACACTTTCTTCAATGTCCCACATTCAGCGCTTAGCTCGCTAAGTGTGTGCGCCTGCTGCTATGCTAGGGCTTATTTACTCATTGCTATTGTCTTTAGCGCGCAATGTTTGTGCCACATTTTTTGCGCCTCATTTTCTTGCACTTTCTGCACTTATTTGTAGGCACATATATCTTCTTCCGCCACAATAGCATCTCGGTGGCCTGGCATATCTGCTCGCTGCTATCTGGCTCGTTTACCGCATACAACAGTTACTTGCGTGCTTTATCTTCATTTGCTGGGATTTAGTTTGTGCGCAATTTTTCCGCCTGCCAATCCGTCATCTTTTAGCGTGCATTTTTATCTCYTCTACTACATGGCTTGCTGGCTTGTTGTTTTGTGTTTACGAGTAAACGCCGGCTGCGTACACTTGACTGCGGTTATTATGCAATTAAAATATTAAATCGCKTGAGTTTTTAACGCTAGACACTTCAGCCACTTTCAAACTGCTGATACTCGCTTAAGCATTCCTTATTTTTAATTTTTTGTTTTATATTTTTCCCGTTTGGGCTCTGCAGTTTATCTTCCACGCAGTTTGTGCTCAATAACTTATTTTTCCGATTCTTTTTCTTCAATTTTTCGCTATCTTTATCGCTTTATGGCTATTGCGCTTCGGTTTTTTGTTGCTGTAGCTCTTTACGCAATCACTTACGCAGATTTTTAAGTGCTTTTCACATTGTTTATTATGCGTTTTATGCTTGAAGCATACCAGCTGGCTACATGGCTGTTAAGGCGCCGTAAAGTAGACTTTACTTAGGTGATTTTCATTCATGCTCGCGTTGCGTGCGCTGGAAGTTTTGACGGCTATGTTTATCATATATTTTTTTTTAATATAAAAAAATAATTATAAATATGCGACAGAATGTTATTGATTTTAAATATACCCTTCATAAGAAACTAGAATAATTATTACACCCATGGGTTTAGCACTTTGTCGTTTCAAAATATGGATCTCGGGGTTTAGCTTGTCATAATATAGAAAATATGAAAATACAAAATTTGAGTCAAATATTGGCAGCCAAGTTTTGGGATAACATATCTTTCAATATTTAAACAAAAGTATTGTCCGATTCTTCTAAGAAAAAGTAACGATGTAAACTGACATATTTTAAATAGAGTATAGAACAATGCAGTTTGATAACAGCATGTTTGTGCTGGTCAAACAAAATACGAACACTTCTATGTATGTATTTGCTAACAGAAGATTTTTGATAAATTGGCGGAGTCGAAAAAAATTGAACCAATTCCGAATGCAAAAAACTAGGTAAAGTCAGAGGAAAGAGAGCAGTTTTAAATTATTTTTTAAATATT